TATATACGGCTGCGCTATAGTGAGCGTGCGCGCATTTTGAGTTAATCTACGCGCCGGCCGCTGCTCCTAATCACGCGCACGCGGGTGCGCGGGGCACGCGGGTCGCTCAGAAGGCCAAATTTTGAGGGTAACTGTATATGCAAAATAAAGTAACACGCTTTATTTCTGTTACCATGTGTTTCTCCGCTACGCAGGCTGCTGCTACTAATCACAGGCGGGTGCGCCGGTCGATGAGAAGGCAGATTTGGTGGGTAACGGCATGTGCAAAATAAAGTAACATGTTTAGTTATATTACCATATGTGTTGCTCCGCTACGCGAGATCTTGCGTCAGTATTCATTGCCCGTAATAAAATAAGTATAGATGGTAATGGACCTATGTTTTTTACCGGCTCTAAGACATCATGATTTCATTTGTAAACATTGCCAGTAATAGATTAAGTGTAGATAGTAATGGACCTAGGTTTTTACCGGCGGCTCTAAGCCATCATGATTTCATTCCTAAACATTGTCAGTAATAGATTAAGTGTAGATAGTAATGGACCTAGGTTATTTACCGGCAGGTAGATATGAAGGTTGCATCCCTAATCATTGCCAGTAGTAGATTAAGAGTAGATAGTAATAGAGCTACGATTTTTTTTCTGTGTAGGCGTGCGAGGGATGACTGTTAACTAAAGTATGGCAACGGTAACGTGTTACTATTTTTTTTTTCTGAGAGAAGGCTGGCAAAGCGACACCAGGGCGATGGTAATCCATTACTATCTTTTTGTCTAGGAGAAGGCCAGCAAAGCGCCGCCAACAGTTTTGGTCGTAAGCGTTACGATCAATCTTTTCCCACGTCGCCCGCGCCCTTCCACCTGGTTAGCGCGTCGGCCTAATTAGTCGCGTAGGTTGGCTCGGTTGAAGTGGCCGGAGCGTAGGATAAGGTAGAATGCGCGCAGCCATAGTTTAGCAAGCCTATTAGCATTGGCAACACAGAAATAGCAAAACTTAGGGGGGAGTGGATTTTCTACTCGAGAGTAGCCACTACTTTCCGAATTGGGAGTAGCGTTATTTACCAAAGCAGATTCCGGTTCCACACCAGTATTAGCAAGAAAGATCAACAAATTGGCAAGAGCATATACCTGCGGAACTTGATTTCCTCGACCATAGGCAGAAAGTATCACGCATGTTCTTGATTACTTCCCAACGGAAGACGTTATTAAGAGCCAGCTGCAGGAATACGCACGCAGGAACCGCAGCGGATAGGGAAATGACCTTGGCGGTATCGAGGGTGTCCCTGGAGGCCCCAGCAGCATACGCCCCCATAAGGCCCATGAGTGCGACGGCGATTAAGCCGTAGACCGCCAGGAACCGCGCCGAGATGGTCCTGTTCAGCTTCTTGTCGAGGAGTAGCAGGATGATGAGCAAGGAGGCGACGAGCGCCGTGGTGTTGCACATGAAGAAGGCCTGGTACCTCCGGAGCCCCCTGTCATGTATGATGGGGTCTCCGGCGAGGTGAAGAAGGCGGCCGTCCTCCTGCTTCTGGGTGCTCCTCCAGAAACCACCAGGAGGGTTCAGCCCGGAGGCATACGAGATCGTGAAGGCGAAGGTCGCCAGCAGCATCAGCACTTCGATCTTCTCCTTCTCTTGGTAACCCGTGTTTGTATTTCTTGGGTTCATGATGTTGTCCGGGTGGCTGGTCAGACTGAGGTAGCCTATAAAAGTATACACAATGTAGGCCAAGATGGGAGAAGCGAGTGCCATGACAAAGATAGTGGTCAAGGCGTAGCGGCTGGCCCCGCCGCCGTAGGAACACATGAGAGCGACTAGGTCGAGCAACATGACAACCCATAGCAGCACCGTCCAGACCTTGCTGTTCCTCCGCAGCATGACCAGAATAAGGCAGACAACGACCGACGATACGAACGCCGTGGCATTGCAGTAGTTGAAGATGAGGTACCGATGGTTGTGAGTGTCCCGGAGGATCGGGTCGCCCGTGACGTGCCCACCCTCCTCCTGCGGCTTCCAGTCTCCCCCCGGCTGGTTGAGCCCGGAGAGGTAGGTCACCATCGCCACCAAAGTGGCCAGCAGCACAAGTTGATCTTTCAGCTCGTATAACTTCCCGTCTGAATCTATGTTGGATGTCGCCATTTGATTTGTCAGTGGCGGCTGGTGTGTGGATGAGATATGCATCACCCTGCTAGCTTGCTGGGAGATCCTTGCATTGGATAGCATTAGGTTAGTTCTATATACGGATGGTGTGAGCAAATCTATATCTGTTAGTACTTTACTTATTTTCAGTTTAAAAGTTATCAGAAAATATGAAATAAATACTGGAGCATATCTCTAATGTAATAAGATGATCCAATGAAGGGATTGTGAAAATATGCATTTATATGTGTCCTCAGCAAAAAGAAACAAACAAACAAGCAAGCAAGCATTTCAGCTCAATACGACATAAATATATATTGTACTTGTTTTTTTTATCCAGGACACATAAAGTTGTATTTTTTTTTCAATGGCTCCATTAGATCATGTTATATTATAGGTGTGTTATTTCAGGATTTTTGGAAAGTTTTGCAACGTCAAAAACCTTTAGGTAGAACCTGAACATATAGATCTAACACAACTTTAAACATGACAAGTTACCTATCCATGCTGTGTGAGTTCCGAATCAGAAGTGTATTGCCGACTGGCCATGCTGTAATTTTTTGAAGTTATAGACCATCGGATAGAATTGCGAACCCTCAAGCAGGGTTTGCATCAACTGACCCAACTTAAAGCAAGGCTAATAATGATGTTCTATCATTTAGACCATCATTTACATCAACTCCTACTAGAGCATGGCTAATAATAAAGTTAAGTGCTGGTGCTATCTCATTGTCACATCACCTGCAACCAATATATTAGTATACCCATATAATAATAATTAGCTCCCTGTTGGTGTATCTAACAAAGGGGGGCGTTTTGCAACCGACTATAAATATATAGAGCTTCTCTTCTCTATCATCTCCTCTCTCCTCGAACAAGAAAAAAAAAACTGATGTGGCAACTCTTAAATTCCACCTACATAATCTTATTTGATTTGCTCAAGGATGGCTATTAGATTCCACCTTTTCTTCCGTATTTGTTATATTTTCATAATAGCACGTGTAGAGATGGGTTGTTGCATTATTGCACAATCCCCCTTTTTTTTTCTTGTCCCTCCCATTCACATAGAAAGAAGTGTCACGTAAGCGGGCTATAAACCGCTTATCATATTTGCTATTAGACATGACTCAAACTAGGTGCCCGAACCAAGAATGAAGAAAAAAAATTAATACAAAATATTAAAACATAATCTGACGCGCATGCGGCTGCAAGCTCATCCTCTGCAGTCTGTATGATGCAATGGTAGCTAGAAGTAAGCCATAATCTTGGACATATCCACATCAACACGATTGTGACTTCATTCGCGGTACCAATTTCAGGAAGAAAGGGATAAAAAGTTGTGTCTGGATGCAACATACATGATGCTAGGGGGGGGGGGGATAATTGTTCCACATTGCGGATCTTCCGAAGGTTTATATGAAAAAGCTCACCGGCACCGCAAAGTAGATTGGTTAAATTTTGCTGGATTTTTTTTGTAATGTAACGAGGGTTAAATACTTATTTTTTTACTCATGTCTATCTACTTTTTAGTACATGATATTTGGGCCATTGATACATTTCTAAAAGTGTATTTTGTGAGTGCATCATTCTTATTTTGTTGTACGTGTTAAATACTTGTTTTTATCTTGTGTTAATCCGTTGTAATTATGTTTATCGACTTTATTGCTTAACACGCAAGATTTTACATGCTGATACATTACTACAGTAGTATATGTGATCTTTCCTATATGCATATGAATATAATGCAACAAAGACACCAACAAAATCAGTAGTCAATTTGTAAATATGCTAGATAATTTCTCGTATGCTCTATAGTGTAGGTTAGCAAGTCTATGCCCACTTGCCACATTAAGCATGGCTATAAAAATATTTTGGTTCCATTCCTCTTTGACATCCTCATATGTTTTTAGCGTGATCCACGAAAGGTTTTTTTATTTCACATACAATCGGATGCATCTTTTTATAAATAGAAAAACCAACAAATAAATGTGGTCGATCGTTATGCCTTAAAGAGACGAGCAACTTGGTAATCTAGCTCTAACCACTCGAGTACATATTACAGTCGCATGCAAATTAGAACCATGTTCAGGAATCAATTACGAACATGGTAGCCAAAAAGGTTGTTTACTAGGAATCAATTACGACTACATGTTTCTCTATAGTACATATTTCCCTCGACTGAAAATATACATCAAGTAACTGCAAAAGATTTGAGGTCGTGTGTCAATCTACTACTAGCCTCTACTTTAAATTATAAGAAATTTTGGAGCTGTACATGAAGTCCTTGCAAAATATCTAACATCACGTTTCAATGCATTAGTATCCCCAATTATCCATCGCGTGATGATTTGGCATCGCATAAGTGGATATTTCAGTATTTGATGAATAATTAGTTTGTGGTGTTTTATCATGGTTGCATGGATTATTTATCAATGTATATTGGCCTCTAATTTGGTACTCTAACCACATTGTACAATAGAGATGAAAGAAAAATTGTGAGAGTGGTGTGTATTAGATGTAGTAGATTCAATTTGTTAAATATTGCAAGTGGTAGAAAGGGGTGGGGGAGAAAATTGATGCGTTCCATATGATATAAAGAGGGGGGGGGAGAACTTTGATGAGTTTCCCTCACCAAGGGTAACAACATAATTAACACAGAAGTTTCGAGCGATACATCACCTACATTTTAGGCTAGGTCTTCACCATGCATGGACTGTATAACTGTTTTTCTAATACATTTCAGTAATGTGCCTTTTCAATTAAATTTCTAGTTTCAGTAATTTTTTATTTTAATTTTTTATGTCTGAACTCATAATAAGTTCTTCTTATATAAATTTTCAATGCAACATTTTGCAATTTTTCTATTTTTGCTATCTTCACCAATCTTTCTAAATAATTGTAGTAACGTTTGGTATTTAAAATAATCTTGTTTGCGTAGATGACAAATATATGGCGGTGATTTTACTAGCATTTAGATGCCACATCACTGAAAGTCAATTTGAAATGACCCAAACTTCATCAATTGATGATAGACATATCAACATTGTGTTGTTAACGATGACAGTACGCCAAGTCAATGGTTTACATCATGGTTCAAGTAAACTACCCAACCATTCAAGTGGATTAAGTAAATTTCCTCTCATGGTTTACATCATTAAATTCCATTTTGAATATTTCCATCATTTCTGGCTTGTTTTGCCAATAAAAATGGACAAGGTGTTGGCCTAATTTGTAGTTCGGATGGAAAATATATAAAGCAAACGAGAAAGAGTAAATTTGTTGACTTGATTCTCTAAAAGAAATGCTGACTTGATGACATTTTTTATGACATCATCCCATGCAAGCTTTCATGTATGATTTAGGCTGATTTTGGATTTGGACATGCCTCCTTTAATACAAATATAAATATTGACATTAGCTGCTAAGTTCAACCATTATGACTTGGAATCAATTGTGGGGATATGTTATCATATATGGACGAGAGTAGCGGTTTGTTTGGTTATTTTTTAGCAATATAATAGACAACCCACACTCTAGTAACATTGCAGCCGAGACACTCAACATCGCAGTCCAGACAAAGCACATAGGAATTATATGACTTATACTTGATCAAACTAATATTGACCCATGAAAATAAAATATTGCATTTAGTAGGGTGATCCTTGTGTTCCGTGAAAGTACTTACCATACCATCTTCCATTGTTATTACTAGCTTGCTGTCAACTTTCTTGGCTTCGTTTTCCTTCTCAGTGATAATGTTCTCAAATTCTGCAAGTATTGTTTGTTACTATTTATTTATATAGAACTCACATGCTATTGTATTATACAAAAAAAAATAATTTGCGACAATTTGTGTATTAAAGGATATGAAATATGGAAATAGATTGGTGATTGTCATAGACAATTTTCAAACATTATTGTGCTAAAGAGATGTTGAGCATATGTAAAGTAGAAAGTGTCAGTATTTCGACATAAGGCGCCAACTATTTTCTTATGGTTCTACCAATTAGTGTGCATCATATCATAGCAAATGAGAATAAGCGATGTAACCAAAATATTATATTTGTGTAAGACCTTCTCCGTCCTAGGCTGTTTTTCTCATTCATTTTATTTGTATAATGTTTTACTAGTTTACACGTGCTGGTTGTATCCACCTTGTTATGTGTTGGCCGGATATTACCTCAGTACAATTTTATCAGCTCGATATAACAGTTCAGAGAAAAGGTCCTTTATCAGAAAAATATGTTCTGATCAAGCATAAAAGGTTTCAAAGATATCCTTGATATAGGATCTTAAAATCATAGACATATTATCTTAAATTGTTTCGCAAAATTTATAGTCCGCCATGAAAGAGAAGGCCAAGAAGAGGACAATTAAATCCTAGACAGTATGCCATAAATAGTTCTGTGGAAATTATTGTCAAATCTCAAACTGTGAGCTTGATTCACCATAAATTACCAAAGTTATCTCCACTCCTATATAGCATGTGTTCCCCTCGCCCCACCTAGTCTATCAGTGTAATTTTTCACGGGCCAGAACGGATTTCTACCCCTTCGTCTCACATCCTCTTTTATGAGAACTCGATTGCTTGTTCCCTACCTAGGCCGCTAACAAGTTGTGCCATAGTGTCTTATCGTAAATTTCCACGGGAGTATCAGGATAAAGATTGAGTAGTCGTGAGGGGATTCACAAATGGGGAAGTGAACGAAACACTCGTGGTGTGGGCATAAAATCTATTTATCCAATTATATAATGTCTCTAAATCTCACTGGTGGGATCTTACAGTAATTGCACTATAAAATAATAGCAAAATTAATAATTACAAAATGTCATTCTCACAAGGCCAATGAAACGAAATCCTCCATTCCTCATCCCCGAGCCCCACTCTTGTAATTGAGGGAAGACATCCTAGCAGTATCATGAAGTGAGGGATGGTGTGCAAATCATGCATATCCTCCCAACCATGGTTGGGGATCTGTGCCCTTATTATTTATAGCCCCTAGCTATCCTTTACGCCGGGAATTCATGCTCGGCTTATCAAGGGTCGGAGGTAGAGCTGGGCATGGGCAACCTGGTCCAATGACACGGTTTGAGCTCGTCCCATAAGGATCAAGTGAGGTGGGGCGTCATTGTTTTGCACTCCAAAAGATAGTCTGAATGGGGCTTCTGTCGTTCAGATCAGTCTTGCACATTTCAACACTCGAAAACAACATTCACGCTGGAATTTGAGTCTTCGGGCTTGGTTTAGTCAGACTTTACAAGGTCGTCCAAAAACCCGACCCAGCCGGTCGCATGCAAAGGATTAGTCAGAGGGCACTTCCCATTTTGTTCTTACGAGCAATGATTAGCATGAGCACCATTATGAGTTCAGATACATACATCATATATTCATCGGGGCGTGTCTCACCTGAAGAAAAAAAATCTGAGTCTTTCTTGTTTTGTCTCGAGGCATCATCAAGGTGTCCTTGAATGGTGATTTGCATAAGGGCATCTCAAATTGATCCCCCCATACTTGTTTATTGGAGGATAAAAGCAGGCTAACTGGATGTAACTGAACTGGCTAACGGTAGAGGAGGATAAATTATCTTCCTCGGGACAAAAAGTTCGGCAAAGTCTCTCAAAATACTCGACCGAAGCCATGGAGAGCAAAACTTTCAAGACCCCCCTTCTCCCGCTCGAGGGGCCACCCCTTCCCGCCGCCGTCGCCCATATAGTCACCGCAGCCACCACCAATGCCCCCGATTCAGTCCAGGATGGAGAGGCAAGACCTTTCCGCCACTACTAGCCACCGCCACCGGCCTGTCGCTGCCCGAAACAACCCTCCCACGGCCGCATGCACGAGAAATTAGATTGGTCACTAAAAACCTCCGCTGGGCCACCCCACGAGTGTTGGGACACGTTGCATGGAAAACAAAAATTTTCTACGCACATGCAATGATCTATCCATGGAGATGCATAGAAACGACGGGAGAGTGTGTCTACGTACCCTCATAGACTGTAAGCGTAAGCGTTTCACAATGTGATTGATGTATCCGAACTTTCTTCGTGCTCCAACCGATTTAGTACCGAATGCACAGCACCTCCGCGTTCTACACATGTTCAGCTCGGCGGCGTCCTTCGCCTTCTTAATCCAACAAGACGGCGCGGTAGTAGATGAGTTCCGGCAGCACGACAGTGTGGTGACGGTGATGGTGATGTGATCTCCACAGGGCTTCGCTTAAGCACTACGAAAATATGACCGAGGGAGTAAACGGTGGACGGGGGCACCGCACACTGCTAAGACAATGTTTTTCCTTGTGTTGCGCCTCCTCCCCACATATATATAGGTGGGAGGGAGGTTGGAGCAGCCAAAAGAGGCGTCCAAGTAGGATTCCTCCTACTTGGAGTCCCTCCCAAGCCGAGCCCCTCCCCTGCCTTATATAGGCGCGAGGGAAAGGCAGGGGTGGGTGGTGCCCCCCCCCTCCTTTCCTTTCTCCCATGAGACAGAAAGGAAGGAGGGGCTAGCCCTCCCCCCTTTCCTTCCCTTAGGGCCTGTTGTCCAAAGAAGGGGCGCACCAAGGGCTGGTCTGTTCCCCCTTTGGCCCATTAGGCCCATATCTTTGCCGGGGGTGCCCGAAACTCCTTTCCGGTGACCCAATAAGTACCCCATACCATCTGAATCACTTCCGATGTATGAATACCATCATCCTATATATATCATTCTTTACCTCTCGACCATTTCGAGACTCGTTATCATGTCCATGATCTCATCCGGGACTCCAAACAACATTCGGTCACCAAATCACATAATTCATATAATACTCTATCGTCATCGAACGTTAAGCGTGCGGACCCTATGGGTTCAAGAACTATGTAGACATAACCGAGACACCTCTATGGTCAATAACCAATAGCGCAACCTGGATGCCCATATTGGCTCCTACATATTGTACAAAGATCTTTATTGGCCGAACCATCATGACAACATACGTAATTCCCTTTATCCATCGATATGTTACTTGCCCGAGATTTGATCGTTGGTATCTTCATACCTAGTTCAATCGCGTTACCGGCAAGTCTCTTTACTCGTTCCGTAATACGTCACCTCGTGACTAACTCCTCAGTCGTTTGCTTGCAAGCTTATGATGTGTATTACCGAGAGGGCCCAAAGATACCTCTCCGATACTCGGAGTGACAAATCCTAATCTCGATCTATGCCAACTCAACAAACACCTTTGGAGATACCTGTAGAGCCTCTTTATAATCACCCAGTTACATTGTGATGTTTGATAGCACACAAGGTATTCCTCTGGTATCCGGGAGTTACATAATCTCATAGTCGAAGTAATATGTATTTGACATGTAGAAAGCAATAGCAATAAAACTGAACGATCATTATGCTAAGCTAACGGATGGGTCTTGTCCATCACATCATTCTCCTAATGATGTGATCTGGTTATCAAATGACAACACATGTCTATGGTTAGGTAACCTTAACCATCTTTGATCAACGAGCTAGTCTAGTAGACGCATACTAGGGACACAGTATTTGTTTTTGTATTCACACATGTATTTAAGTTTTCGACCAATAAAATTCTTGCATGAATAATAAACCTTTATCATGATTAAGGAAATATAAAATAACAACTTTATCATTGCCTCTGAGGCATATTTCCTTCAACCAGAATCACCGCCGGCAGCAAGGTCGGTGGCAATCCCACCGCATTTCTGGTGATGGAAGGTTGTCGTCCCCCTACTTTAGCTGCTGACAAGTGAGCTAGGAAGAAGACATCGACTGCACCAGCCCTCATCGAGAAGGTATGGTAGCAAATAAGAAAAATAAGAAGGTGGCTCTGGTACCTCGTCCTTGCTTGCGGATCGTACCCTATCTTTGGCCACCACTACAACCACTCCTCTAGCGCATCCGCCATTTGGGAATTAAAGCTCTCATTTAATTCAATTAGAAAAGATATGTCATAACACATACTCCCTCCGTTCCTTGATATAAGGTGTATAGATTTTTGAGAAAAAGTCCGAAATATAAGGTGTATTGCATTGCACCACTTGTTTGGATATTTTTTTTAGGGATTTGATTACATTTCCGTATATCGGGAAAGCTCCTCTATTTCCTCATGTCAATTAGTCAGGTGTAATCTCGCCCAAAACTTGTGAAATTTTTCCTCCACATGTGTTCTTTAATTTCCATGCCAAAAACTATACACCCTATATCTAGGAACGGAGGGAGTATTTAATAAGACCTTACTCAATCACACATCATTGGAAAAAGTTGAGCAATTTTCTCGCAAAAATAGCACGAGCGAGATATTCTTCCTTAACGTGGATCTCAATTGCTGGAAGAAGTACAAAGGGCAATGGAAGAAGTGGAAGAGTCAAACTCCTCTATCGGGTCCACCACTGCTATCACCAAGAGTCATGGTGATGAAGTGCTCGATGAAATGCCATCAACGTAAAGAGAATTGTATTTTAATTTTGGTTGGTGCATTGTTTGGTTATTGCTTCTTCTTGTAGGGTAACAAAAACATGATCGGATCCTTGTTGTCTTTGGAGGTTGACAACGATGCTAATGAAGATGCCAACAAGAGACCAAATGGTAACAAGATTGCAAAAGAGAGAAAGCGAAGAAGAGCATTTGGTCGCACATACAAAGAAGATCTTGCGGACATGATTAAGACCAAGAAAGCCTTGTCGGCTGATAGCAAAGTACATAAGGCAGATGGAATGATATCAAGTTGTTAGAGGACAGGAAATTGTGTTCAAAGTTGCCGGCTGAAGAGAGGAATTCGAAGGTGGGGGAGCATATGCTTGCACTGAACGAGGAGAGGCTTGTGAACAAGAAGAAGGCCAAAGAACATGCTATAATGTTCATGTATCGAACACAATGGATGCCATGGCAAAAAAATTAGGAGCTCACTCGTTGATCTAGATCTAGATCTAAACTGAGGTGTCTCTTTGGAATGGTGGTGGTGGACTTGTGGATGGAGGTGGGGATGATGGTAGTGGTGGCCATGTGGATGGTGGTGATCTTGATTTCTTTCATTAGGATTGTGTTTTATTTGCATGCCTTTGGTTGGGCTCAATGTGCGATAACATGCTATGTTGTGGTGATTTCAGATCGAACTTAATCAATGGTGGTGCCTTTTGGATGAACTATCTGAAGTTTTTAATTTGAATTGCTTGTATCAAGACAATTGATGATATACTATGCAATTGTTTGAAATATATGCGGCCAGGCTAAAGAATTGAGAAAAAAATACAGAGGATCAGTTAGGTCCAGCCACCTTAAGTGCAGCAAAATTATCCTCCACTAAAGATACTGGGCTTAATCCTCCTCTAAATTATAGAGGATCGATTAGAGATTCCCAACACCATACGAAAAGTTCATCTGCCTAGATGCATTTTTCCCGTTGAAGTTTCCAGTAACACACCGGTTGCCAAAAAATTTGGTGACCACCGCAAAAATTCCGCACTATAAGAACACCCAGAACATTATCAAAATAGTGCTCGTATGCATGTTTTATCATAACCCAACTCCCGACCTATTGGTATGTGGTGCAACCTATCTACTAAAAGTTGAAGGGAAATAATCTCCCTTCTAATTTATTGGTCTTGGTGCAAAAGCGATAAATCGAACTCATGAGTTTCCTTTGAAGTAAACAAGTTTTGCTAATGACTACTCCCTCCATCTTAGTTTATTGGTCCCATGTATATGGTGTCAAACTTTGACCATAAAATTAACTAATAAACTATAAACTATATTTTATGAAAAGTAGATGGTGGAAATCCTTTTTTGAATACAAATCCAAAGTTTATTTTGTCTAGCATATAAATCATATTCCCTCAATTCCTATATGTAAGTCTTTTTAGAGAATTCAATATGGATTACATATGGGTGTATATAGACGTAGGTTAGAGTGTAGATTCACTAATTTTTCTCCCTATGAAGTCCATATTGTAATATCTAAAAATTCTTATATTTAGGAATGAAGCAAGTACATTGTTAGTTGTATAGATGGTCAAACTTTGACCCAAAATATGAGGATGGCTAATAAACCTGGATGGAGGTGGTGGAACACAAAGAATTTTGTCTACATAATGGGTTAAACTAATTATGATTTGACAATAAATATATTTAAATTCCAAATCCATTTGAGCTTTTCAGGCAAAAAATTCAAAACATCTCAGATTTTCCCAAAAATGGCTTTTTGCGCTCTACAAGAAACACGGTATTGCGAAAAAACCTTGATGGGAACACATGACCTTTAGTATGCTTTGGATAATCTACAATATGGAGCTAACAAGGGACTCAAATGTTGGATGTTCTTAGATAATGAGGGAGCTGAGAAATTTTCCTTCCCTTACAAGTAGAATAGGAGGGTTAGGAGCATAGTCTGACGATTCCAGAAGTTGAAGGTATTGCTGATAAGTGGTGAATTACGACATCACAATGGTTCATGTTATGAATATGGCAAACTAGTCGATATCAATTTGTGAAATGCGTATCAATTGTTGTCAAATTTTTTACTGCTAGCCCTAGAGTTGCACTGCTACAATGTATTTTGTATGTGTATTGTGCAAACTAGTTAGGCTATTGAGAGACAATGTAACTAGAGTTGCACTGCTAGCAGCCTATTATCTAAGCATTATTATTTACGAAAATCCCCACTACAAAAATATTTTATACTAGGCACGATGGGTGGTATGACAAAACCACGAGTACTCTGGACACTATTAATATGTGAATTTCACCACCTTCATTATTTCCATACCATTGTAGTAATTGCTCCATTTACGCCTATCATGGTTGTTTCAGCCCCATCATGTGCTTTCTTTTTCTCTCATGCAATATTAATGAGCGTGGCATGATGCCCATGTTGGGTGAAAACGCTGAGATGGGGATACAGAGATGGTGGCGTCTATCAGTTTCCTTCAATTTGTTAGAGGTCTTGTCTTGAGATTCTAGCTTGGCACATCCACTTTACGTTCCTTCTATGGGATGAAACCTTCCAGCTGACTTTAATGCTTCAGCCAGAGGGTGTTGATGCATAGTTTAAGATTTTTGGGACCTCTCCTCTTTGTCCATGGAGAATGATAATTTCTTAGACATCCATATGCCTTTGTCTTATGGTGGAAAACTTGGATACAAGACTCAGTGGCACTCTTCTTGATAGAAGTGATGGTTGACAGTTTGTCTTCCAGTTTGTTGTGGAATATGTTGTTTCACCATGAAGCCAATTATAAGCTGCTAGGTGGTGCTTTCTTTCAAGATGATGATGGTTGGGGTCACACTACTGGTCTTTTATGCTTTTAGCATCTTATGTTCATGTTGTCCACAGCGTTGATGCTAGGTATATTAATTTGTATTCACTTGATGATTATAGAATACTCCTTCCATTTATTTTTTTCTCCGTGCATAAGATTTGTCTTAGATGAAACTTCGTAATGTTATACCAAGTTTATAGGGGAAAAATTCGATGCATCATGTGCAAGGTTTACGAAGCTCAACTAAAGACAAATCTTATATGCGGAGTAAAAATAAACAAAGGGAATACTTTAAAAAAAGCAGTTATGCTTAGATCCCCCAGTTATGCTTAGTGCTTGGTTTACGTTATTTAAGCTGGCTTTATAATGCCTATATCCTAGGAAGTAAGAATTGGAGAATCAACCACTACACTCAATACCACCCCACCTCTCCCATTGCCCTAAGACAACCTACTTCTTGCCGGAATGGCCAAGCTTAGGTGTATTTATTCCCACCAATATATTATCCACCCTAACCATCCCACAATTATCCACCACATGGAAGCCCATTTTTTTGTAAACTAGGATATTCCCTAGAGTAATATAGATAGAAAAGTTTGTCTATGAAACTTTTGTCAAACGAAACATGTGCATCGATATGAAAGTGATACATAAATTAACAAAAAGATCACCTGCCCATGAATCTTGTGGATATGAAATGGAAACTTGTGGCACAGAAGTCCTGATCAAAAGAAACATTTATTTTTCTCATTGAAAAGAAAGCTCAAGCATGCAGGGTAATAGGGCACATAGGAAAGTCGGTTTGTGGGCTCGACTCAAGGGAATAAATATTAAAGGAAAGGACATGACGTAGAAGTAGAATACATTTTTGTATATAATCAGTACCTGGTAGCTTCCATGTTATCATCTTCCCATGTGTTCCTTCCTTGAATTCCAAATTGGTCGTCAAAGCCTTCCTCTGAGATCTCAAATTTTATATGGCGTTCTTCTGGAAACTTGCTAAGTGTAACCTCTACTATAGACTCAGTATGTGTCCCTTTATCTCCAACGCCCCCTAGATCAGTTTCAGTTACTAAGAAGTTAGATGGGAAACATAACACTCATCATATGGATAATAAAATAAAATGAAAGGGATTGTTTGCTTTGAAAGATTGAGGAAATGTAGAGATGAGAAAAACGTAAGAAAATAATATGATTGCACGTGCAAAACATAGGATTGAAGAACACATAAATTCAATAAAATTTCACATTTCATTGAGATGATTAGGAAAAACATAGGAATCCAACTAAACGAAGTTAAATCAAAATATAATTTAGATATTATTATCCCACTAAATACTCCGGTCACATACTTCCCCATAGAAACTATGAGAACATGCTAAAGTGGATATCAAACTCTATGTTTGAGTGATGATGAACGCAACATGCATTCTTGCTGGTATCAATATGTTACGAACAAACTAGCTACCTTGTCTTTTCTTACGCGGAATGAATATTGAGACAATAATATCTGAATATTTTTCCCCATTAATTTCGAAAACATTTCACTAAGGATTACCACCAAAATAACTTGCTAATGAGTGTACGGAATATTTTACAGAAAACATGGTGTTGATTTTGAAGCCTTCGACAATTCAATTGGGAACAATAGATTGATGATCATCACAAGGGGTTGGACTCAAGTTCTGTGGCCCATTGACATCAAGGAGGACACAATTTAGGCCTTCCACTTCTACTACTTCTTCACCAAGCTGAATGTCCTTCGACTATCTTTTTACCATATATGATGGTATTGATGGAGAAGGTTTTATATGCCAATCATGAAGTACTATTGTGTTTCTAGTTTCGATGCTTGTTCATATGGTTCTTGAACATATGTTGGATATGTTTGGAATATTTGAGTATGCAATATGTGCATTATTTTTAAATTTAATATATGAGAAAATATCGTGGGCTTAAAATATGAGGAAATAAATCTGATGTGTTACTCATTACATTGCAGAACACACCATGTGCAATGAAACCTGTTTTCCACCGGGTGTGATGGACACCCGCACTCCCCACAGCACATGACCATGTGATACCCCCCCCCACCATCACACACACAATTTCCTGTCATGATTTGTGAAATCTGCAATGGATATCTTAAAACTTGTGTCATGAACATATTTGCACTAGTGGAGAGAGCCTTTTGCAACTGATTATGCCTCTGACTCAGGATGGTCATCCTAGATTTGGCACTTTATGATCGAGATTCGTTGTCTCACTTCTCGAGACATTTTTGGATGTCATTCCTTATTCATGTTGGTTGTCAAATGTGCAGTTTTTCGTGAAGCAAATTAAGGGGTGTTTGGTTATTACTTCTTTGTAAATTAGTGTGGTGAGTGTTGCCATTCTTGGATTGTATGTTTCTACCCTTTTTATATCGGCGGGTATGCTTTTGTTAGTTGTGTGCATCATATACAAATTTTCATAGTGGAGTTGGTGAGGTTGGGTCAATTTATTTGTATTAACTTAATGCATAACAAAAATGTCCTTTTCCATAAAAAAAGTAGAATATTAACCCTAGATCTCCTACTCAAATCATTGACCGATGGAGAATCAATGTCTCTGTCAATACTTGTTCCTGGCTATTGCCCAGAAAACATGTTGGTTACTCAAGCTCTATGGATCTTTTTTGTTGGAAAGTTCACACACAAATTTCAAACATACAGTATACATCCATACGGCAATTTGGAGTTTTCTTCAGAATTTGTTGAAACTTAGAAATGCCCTTTTTGATATATAGTTTTTCCGGAAAACAAGCTCCATTGAGCTCGAGCAACAAAAGGCTGCATTTTGTGATAGCTTCCTTGGGTAAAACCATCAATCATTCGGTGTATTTCCTCCCGCATATATCTTTACACCTTAAGCTTCTCAAAAATTACCCAACACATTGTAGCATGACTGGAAAATCTAAAGCAAGACAAAAATATCCATAGGAAGAAATACGTGCATTGGTATATAAACAATTATATATGTTAATAAACAAGATCACCTGGATCCTGAAGATGCGAAATGGAACTCGGTGGTAGATAATTCCTGATGGCAAAAATCATTATTAGAAAAGCCGGTGAAGCTCATACAAGCAGCGTAATGGGGTACACACGAAAGTTAGTTCATAGGCTAGCTAGGCCCAAGTGAAGAAATACTAAAAGATATGAAAAGGAGATAGTAGAAGTTGAATGCCATTTTTCAGCCATATATAAGAACCTGCTACCATATTCTGTGTTATCATCTTCCTAGGAATCCTTTACTTGAATTCCATGATGTTCATCAGAGACTTCCTCTGAGATCTCTAAAGTAATAATGTGTTCTCCTTCTAGCTTGCTAAATGTAGCCTCTAGTGTAGACTCTGTTTTTGTCTCATTTTCTGTGACTTCCCCTGGTTCCATCCAGAGTACTAACAAGTTAGATGAGACACATAGCATTGGTCATATGGAAAATAACTTCAGAAAAATAAAATTTTAAATAATAAAGATCTTTTCCCTCCAAGTGATATTTTCTAGCATACCATTTACCTTGCCTATAGAAACATACTCCATTCAAACAATAGAAATATTTTTAGAACTATAGAACATATTTAACACATTTAAAATGATGCCCTATCATTTACGAGGGCCACTATGCTAGTTTTGACTAACAGTGGAATGAAACAAAGTATACCTAAAATTTGCATAGGAGAAGAGATGTCTGGTGCCACAATAGACCTGATAAGAAAAGGAAGAATGAATGTAAAGTAAAGAAAGAGCAATGGCCTGGAGATTATTAGTTGGCTAGAATCAAAGTATGTATGTACCGGGTATCAAATAACATGGTGCTTAGACGCACATTGCTCTTTCCACCAAATGTCCTATCCACCGATTGCACATTGATGATTGGTCTACTTGGATGTGTTCCGAAGATGGCCATCAATAAGGCAACTTTGGTTCCCGATTCAATAGTACCGAGGATTCCAATTTTTGCAGAAACCTCTTTAAGGCCTAACAAGTTGTCGATGCTGGCTTGTCGAATGTCACTTTGCTCAAATTTATTAGCATCGAACCTTAGCTTAAGCCTTTTGATCTTTGGCATTGCTCCTAAATCAAAGGTCAGACATAGTGCAGCAGACGTGAACTTGAAATACTTGAGAACTGTGAACCCCTCCTTGTCAAAGACGATCCTTGCTTTTGGTGTGATGGATACATAGATTGAGAGAGAAGTGAGGGCATTCAACCCTTTAAGGATATTAATATCTTCCGTCGATGTCTCCCTAACAGTTACCTTCAAAATGCAGAGTTTCTCCAAATCTCCGAACCACTTGGGAAGGCTTGGAAAGATGAAATTCCGTGGGAACTCAACTCTTTCAAGAAGGACCGGACCACAGGAAACACTGCTTAGGCAGTCACAAGAAATACCCACATTCGGAGTTTCAGAGTCAATAATTAGAGACTTGAGTTGCTCGAAATCCCCTAGAATTGAGCCAAAATGCTTCATGTTCCCAATCAGACCCCCAGGTTTTACTGTGGAACATGTCAGCCGAAGATCCCATAGATTAATAAGCTTGCCTAGTCCCAGCACATTGTCGGTTGAGTTAGTGTTGAGGCTAAAATCCCCTAGGCGGCGAAGTGATGTCATGTGTACAATCCCATCAGGCAGAGTAACCTGGCTTGGAAGGCATAGGTGCAACAGACTCTTCAAAGCAAAAATATCCGATGGAACAACAGATAGCGGAGCATCCACTTCCAGTGTTCCTAAGTTTTGAAGCATCTGAACCTTGGCTGGAAGGTTGACGGTGGTATTACATTCGACCTTAAAATGTTTTAACCAGCATAGTTTTGATATTGTAGTAAGGTCAAAAGTCTTTTCTTGATCTGCCCAGATATGAAGATTCAGAACTTGAAGAAACACATAATCCCCAGTGGAAGGTGCACATTCAAAAGATCCAAAGTATAAAAGTGATAGAACTTGGGACAAAAACATGTTTTCTGGTATCTTTGCAGCTTTTGCATCTCCAAACTGGATGGACAGTCGACGAACCATGTCAGGAAGGACTAGAGCTGATGGAAATTTGTCCACAGTAGTGACGAAGTTATCCTCCATGGATTTGCGCCTAATAAGATCCAATACCATGTGGTGGACTGTACATGATAATACTTCACCTTCATCATTGGTGTCTACAGCTTGGATCATTCCTCTACGAGCAAGCTCAATGAAATAACCCTGAGCAACACTAACTTGTTCTTCTACTTCATCTTCCTCTTTGTCTTGCTGTTTTACTGCACCCACAAAACCTTTTTTTCTTCGAGTGACCCCAATGAAACCTTCTGCAATCCACTGGCCTACAAGAACATACTTCCAGATCGTGTATCCCTCTGGATACATATTAAGATAGAGCAAGCATGTCTTCAAGTGACGTGGAAGACTATTGTAAATAAGGTTTAGGACTTCTTCGATCACTTCACAAGTAGGGTTTGCACTCAAAGTAGAGGACAGAGAATCTTGTATCTGCTCCCATTGCTCCTTTACGAGGTTTGGTTCAGTTATACTGCCGGTGTTAACACTTGCTAACGGTAAGCCACCGGATGTCATGATAACCCCATAAGAAAGTTCTTCAAAATCTTGACGAGAAGCACACCCCGAGTCAGAGACTCCAGTGGATGATAATTCTGCTGATTGATAACCACTAACTGATGTCATTTCAAATATGTACTTTGACTGATAGCTACAGCAGGCCAAAGCCGCATCCTCATTTTGTGTGGTGGTTATGACTCTGCTGCAACAGTTGCCATCAGGAAAAGCACGCCTAATAGTGTTCCATACAGATGGAGTCCATAACTCATCAATTATTAGGAAGTACCTAGAAGAATATATAGGTTAGATTTAGACAAAAGAAATCAATACTGAAATAAATACACTTTTGTTCAAGTGGCATTTTTGAGGCCATGACTTAATTTCAAACACCACACATTTAACTAAATATAACTTATCTGTTATTATTGTACATTACTTAAAGGGCTTTCACATTCATACCATCACTTTGGTCTGTCTACTCCATTTTACAGTAATAAAATCTGGATGCTCAGTTTTGCCACTCTACATCGTTTCGCTTTGGCCTAGGCTAAAGCCTTAGGCCAGATAAAGCAATTACTGATATATATGTCGTTGAGGGCTATTAAAACCGTTATGCAATTAGTGGCATATGTATTGTATAGGGGTGGTAAAAGGTCATGGAATTAATGGCATATGCCATTTCAGAGGTTTAATTTTATGGACCATAACTAAACACAGCCGAGGGGCCTAACAATGCAAGCATTTTCATTATATACAGAAGACAGAGAACTACCTTTTGTGTTCTAGATGTGTCCTGATATTGGCAACGAGCACTTGCACATCAGCATAGGCGTGGGCCGGAGGTGCCTTGATTTGGGAGAGCATGCTGGTGAGAAGCCTCCTTATATCCGGCTGCCGAGACATCCGTAGAAAAGCCCGACAGTCAAATTTTCCTCCAAACTTACGATATAAGGTCCTGGTAACTGTTGTCTTTCCAACACCCGCAAACCCAAAAATAGATACTACCTTGAGTCGTTTCTGTTTTTGGTCGTCGAATGCCAGGAGGTTGACGAGATTGTCCATGTGTGCAGCAGCTGGCACCGACAGTTTGAGGGTCAGCTCGGGCCTCCTGACACAGGCAACCAGTACCGGCGTTTGGAGAGACAATGTGGAGGAACTAGCAACGGCTGGAGTGGTACAAGCTTGTCCACTTTCTTGTTCGATGTTTTCATTATTTGTGTTCCATTTGACGAGTCGTCCACGTCTTTCACGGGCATCGGCCACACGAGCCACTAATGTTGAGAAATCAATTGCAATCTGGGGCCGTCTTTTCAGCAGTTTGTGAATCCAACGCACATTACTGCCATTACTGGGCTGCATTATAAGCTTGTCAAAGTAATTCTCTGTATCATAACAGACTTCACGCACCTCCTTCATCCAGTACTTGGCCGTTAAGCTGGTGTCATTGGCCTCTGACAGACCCATGAGCGAGATGCATAATTCCTTGAGCTCTTTTTTGAGACTGTGGATCTCACCTTCATTAACCCCCGCTGGCAGAATTTCCTTGGTAGCCTTAAATGAATGGAGTTTCCGGAACAGGGATCCTATAGGGCCGAGCGAAGCGGAAACAGGAAGCTCCATCGCTGCATGAAGCCATTCAGAGCCCCGGTCCTCCATCTCCGCCTAAAGCCAAGCGTCAGTTTATTAGAAACATCAATTACTCTCTGACTAAAGCAAACACAAATGAATATCTCTAGCTACATAGCATTGTATGGGCTACTCTCCTATATACATGTATGAATTTTCTGAATTTCTGTGAACTAACCAAGATGCTGAGCATGGCTCATATGGCTAGGTACCATGTGGTGGAACCTATTCACCCAAGTTCAAGTCCTAAATTTGGCATGGGTGGTTGCATTTTTCAGAATTTATTTCAGGCTCTATGATGTTATTCCTTCAACCGTATCGCGTGCCCATCAACTATGAGGCATCTGTGACGACTTTGTCAATTTGAACATTTCCCGGCTTAGTCTCTCAGAGGTGAGGTGCACATAGGGATATTGTGTGCGTGGGTGCGTTCACAGGGGTGAGTGTGTGTGTGTGCGCGCGCGCCATGTTTCTAAAGATAGATATTATCTATTTTCTTGACGTATTTTATAACAAAACATTTATGAATATATTTTATTTTGTGCATGCACCTACATACCACACAAACACAAGCACTCATAGAGCCCCTACATAAGACGAAAACGGGGAAGCTTCACGATTTACGAGATCATAACTCACTCGAAGTTCACCTCCTCCCAATTGTGAAGTTTTGATGCACTACACAAGACACTTTTTCTGAAGAGTGTTTTGTTTAGTGCTACTGAATTTTGCGGCAGTGACGATGCTCTATTTTAGTATCGCCAAAAATAGACTTGATGTTTCATTTCTTGTCTCAGGATCATCATTAGCCCGTGAAATATCCCTCTTGTAATGCGTAACCTTAGCATGATTGGTTTGGGCAAATGCACACCGTCGAAATATCCTGCTTGTATTAGTTCAAATAACTTAAGTATCCTCTCATATATGCATGAGCATGATCTAGAGAAATTCGATGACGGAGCTTACAAGGCTGGAATGATTGGAACATTAGAAGAGGATGATATTTGTCCGCTCTTGCTCTTCTAAATTGGTTTGACTCATTTGAGCTAGCTATATTAAATTAATTTATTTTCATGTATATGTATCTTCTCATTTTCGGTACCACACGCGGGCCAGAATAAAAGATTTCTTGTGGCATTCAGGATTCAAGGGTTGAGTCAGAACAAGGAGCTTCCGTCTCTAGTCACATATCTCTGATCATGATCCGGACAAACTAGATGATGGAATCAAAAATTGAATGTGGAGTGGTTTGATGTAAATGTGTTAGACGAGAATGATGTGATGCTCGTCCTCCCCTTCCTAAAGAGGGATCTATCCAAACTATATGTATATGTTGTTTATTTATATTCATGTATACATTGACTTTAATGCATAGCCTAAGCAGGAATAGATTAGAGATACTCCGGTGGGACTATCCCAAAAGAAGAGGCGTAGGCTACAGCATAATAAAAAATTATGGTGTTTTTCCTTATTGTGTGTGTGCGCGCGTGTGCGTGTGCGTGTGCATGTGTGTGTGTGTGCGCGCGCGCGCATAAGCATATTTTCATATGAATTTATGTTGCTGTTACACTGGACATGGCCAAAATGTGGCGGTGTGCAATCTAAAAGCTGAAGGGAACACGGGCAGATAAGCAAGCCCGTGTGTAACCTAAAAGCACACATTTCAGGCCAAGAACGCTTGTGTGCCATATGACCCGAATATTGCACACGTTTCTCCGCGAGAAATAGTGTGCATTGAGCCATCACGTCCCATACATGCACTTGACAATTTGCATTTACCTACATTTATTTAAACAAACAGTTCCCTACATAGAGAAATGCCGATAGTGAGGGGTCCTTGTTCCGTGTGTGATGTGCAGTTCCATAATGGCGCACATATATTTTGTGTGACATATATTGTATAAAATATGCATTGTACATTCACGGTTGGAGATAGAGATGTAAAGTGCAGCAAACAAATATAAGGAGAAAAGTGAACCAACTTAATAGTTTCATAAAATAAATATTTTTTCAAGAAAAAAATAAATCTACAGGAGCATCACAAAGAGTCTGTTACAAATGGGAAAACACACACGAAGAGAACTAAGAAGAAAAGCCCCCTGGAAAGTACTCCATACATCACTATTGCAGAATGGTGCTATTAAGCCTCACCTAACGCAGACCCTAGCGCCAAACTGTGTGTGATAGGCATCACACATTGTATAGCTAAAGCATATGGCAGTAAGTTCGGCATTGCATATACATTAACACGCCAGGGAAGGCACAATTCCCAGACAGAAGGCAAGTCATATGCTATACTTATCTTTCCCACAGAAAGATATATACTTCTTTATTTTATCATGCCTGCTAGCACAAAATTTAGTAAGAAAGGGTTGAATGTGTTCATCTTCACACGCAAAGCTATATGGTGTTCTCTTTTGTTATCTAAAAGATCCATGCCATACGTGGAAAGGAAATAACTGATGTGAGAAGTGTGAACATATATACCTCGCCTGTAAAAGAACTTTCGGCAGTGTTTAATTTATTCAGCTCCTTGACAATCTCGGCTATAGGAGGTCTTTTCATTTGGTCGTCCTCCGAACATCTTAACGCCATTTCTAAGCATACCCTAACTTGTCGTGATGTATCACACGACGTCATTGCCACCAACTTGTTCTTCCAGTTTAGATGTACCTGCATGCGAACTTGAAATATAAAATAATAGTATTTGTGAAAACTGTTGGCAGGTAAGGGTATAGGAATTTGTTTCTCTTACGAAATCAAAAAGATCTTGAAAAGGCATGTCTGAGCGGCGAGAATAGCCAATAAACCTTGCTATTATTTCTATTATTATAACGCCCAAACTGAATATGTCAAATTTTGATGTAGTTTCTCCTTTATTGATGTATTCTGGTGGCTTGTATCCCCTGCATGATACCAATTTCTTTTCATCATTGTTAAAAAAATAAGTTGACAATTTCTCATGAACTATCAACTTACCGTGTCTGTTCTGTAGCTTCAGTTGTGACATATGTCTGTGCTGAAGGGAAGAGTCGCGAGTAACCAAAATCTCCTATTTTGGGCATCATATTCTTGTCTAGCAATATATTGCTAGGTTTTAGATCCAGATGGAATATATGATCATTGGTTCCATTATGAAGGTAATTCAAACCTTCACATACCCCCTTAATGATTTTGAAACATGTGAGCCAATCAAGTGCACATGATTCATCTGTAAAATTATGCACAAAAGTGTACTCCAGTAAGATATAAACTAAGAGTAGCTAAACGAAGACATAGTTTAAGGAATTAATTTTATTTACATGCAAAATAATACTACTAATATAAACATAATACTATTATACCAGAAATATACTTGTCCAAGCTTCCGCCCTGCAAGTATTCGAAGCAGAGAAATCTCTCTTCCACTACTGCAGAGGTATATTCATCATCGTGTTTAACACGTTTATGCCCAATATTACAACAGTAACCAATCAACCGGATAATATTTTGATGCCGGGCTCTCACAAGGTTATTTAACTCATTCCTGAATTGTGTGTCATCAAGCTCTGGCATATGATATAACTTCTTCAGAGCAATCTCTTCCCCATTATCCAGCACTCCCTGTTAAAATTTACATGGCTTGTTGTAGTTATAGTATGTTCTCAAGTAAATTAATACATACATATAACTGAGAATAAAAATATACCTTGTAAACTACTCCATGCTCACCACGACCAATTATGTGGCCCTCGGAGAAGTTATCTGTAATCTGTTCCAGATATTGGAGGGTAAATTCCCTTGGTATCACACTCATATGTTGTAACTTGCTCGCCATGGTATCATATATCTCCCAGGAGTGTTTAGCTTTGACGTCCCATGTTTCTAGTAAATGGAAACCTGAATGTTTTGTTAAGCGAGACAATACATGTTTTACGCATAACTTGTACAACAAATAAAGGGAATTAATAATTGTTACTCTGATTTTTTTCTTCGGATTGCTCACTTTGTTTAAACTGTAGGGCTCTCAGTTGTCTGCATTTTCCTTTAACGTGAGGTTACACGTGTATGTTTATTTATTTGTATATGTAAATTTTGCCTTATAATGAAAAGCCAAATTAGGTTATATACACACCTTTTTTTTTACTTGAATGACCATAGTTATATCTTTTTTGTGATTATAGATTCTCACATGTTTCGATTAGTACGAATTTTTTAGCGTATTCTGTCTTCATTTTACCTGCTTTAGTGTTTTCTGGTTGACCTACACCTACTGAGGTGTACATAAATTATTTCTGTCATTTATTTTTTTACCAACACCACAATTGGTTTTTACGGGAATACTCCATGTTATTTAACCTAGTACTTCAGTGCCTCGTCAGTTATTTTTGTACGGCTAGCTTTTCATTCTTAACAGCTTGTAATGCCTAAATGTTTATAACATTGTTCTATATTGGTATAGAGGTGCAAAACAATGCTTTTGTTCATATTTGGTTTTCTTATCAAAATTCCATGTGAATTTATCTTAAAATAATAAGTTATGTTATGTGCACCTTTTTTATTTAAATTCCATTGCGTCATTAGCGGCAACTTCAACATGATCTCCACTGCCGCGGAGAAAAAATATTGACAGCCTTCACAGTGCCACGGTGCGGCGTTTCCAGCGGTTCATTTTTGATGAGGAGTTGCTTACACCTGGTTCAGTGAGTGCGACTAGCCTACCCTCAAGCGGAGTGATCGCATTCTCTGTATGGGCAACTGGGAAATCGCCCACCCTCACTACATCCTTAGATGCCTCTCTTCGGCAACATCTGATCATGTGTCTTGCTCATTGATTGCATCAAGTTCTCTTTGGAACCTTGATGTTTTCATTTTGAGTTCTTCTGGCCCAAGATCGAAGGCTTCCACCAGGTCACCATTTATCATGGTCCTCAAATCCTCCCGAGCCGGACCCCTTCTGCCGTATTTTTGCACGCCATATAGCTACTGCGAGATGGCTGCAGCGCTGGAGTGCCAAGTCTATTGGCAACATATCCCTGTAGCTTTCAGTCACGCGTGAGCTCATTGCCCGTTTTGATGCCACACAGGCTTTCCAGCCCCTTTCCCGCGTGAATCCTGTTAATGCCACAAGCTGAAGGCTTCCTACATTGGCCTCGCGTCTTTGGAAAGGTCTGTTGCATGCCAATGCACTCACTTTCTTAGTGAGGGTGACAACAACCCTGCTTTCTTCCGCCTCCATGCTGCCCACTGCAAGCAGAAGAGATAAAAGTTTGATCTTCACGTTGTGACTTCTACCATCTCTGCTCAAACTGCAATTGTGTAGAATGCCTTTCAACACTTCTCCCTCATCTTAGGGACCATGGATGTCTATGACTTCACCCTCCCATTGATGGCCTCGGTCCACGCATGTTTGATCTCTCATTCCTTGAGCAACCATTCTCTAATGAAGAGATTTAGGCACCGATCAGGAAGCTATCGAAGGGCATGGCGCCCAGGCCAGATGGCTTTACGTCTGAATTACTGTTTTTTAAGAGGTACCCAAGGGCAAGGCACCCAGGCCGGTTTTTTCAAGAAAACAAAAGTTCACCCAAAACCTATTAACATGGGATCTAGGTTCGAAGATCTCAACTCGAGAAATGCAACGGTGAAGACGGTTCGTGATTTGGATGCATGCATGGTTCAAGAGATGAAACATTTTTAAGAAAATGAATGAACAAAGAGAAGCACAAAACTCCTGGATTTGTACAAGTGTCACACATGCATCTGTGCCACTTCTCACTATGATAGGAGGTGGTAGTGAGATTTGCAAGAGGTACCTTCCAACTAGTTATCTCGGCATAAATATCTATATAGAATATCGATCGATCGATGAATCTTACCTAAGCTCCCGTCGAGGCTCTAGTCTCCAAGGGGGTGGTTTCCGTTGTCAATGACCCATGCGATGGATCCACGACAGTGGACATCATAGGGCCAACACTGTAGGCTGCGGTCATGGCCTCTTAGGACCGCCGACCGAATCAGCCACCACTCTCAATCTTAGCACAAGATATCGAAAATAAAGCACCGAAATTAATTATTACTTCAATAAGTACTGCCAAAATTGTTTTAGCAAGATTTCTACATTCTTTTAAACTTTCTAACTGCATATATAAGCCCGTTGCGAGGTAGAGAGTCTCGAGTGGATTGTTTTTATTGCAAATATCAATTGTATTTTGCAAAAAGGGTCATCAGTAGTTTATTCATGTATCTATAAATCTGGTTATCTCTTTTATTATCTGGACATTGTGTTGGTTGTTTTGTAGAATTACAACCGCTAACATGCATCAAACACACTACCATTAGTTTTAAATTATATATATCCTCAAGGTCAAGGAGTGGTTGGACCACAGTATGATTTTGCGTATACTCCACCATTAAAAAAATGTACAACCTAGCGACATAAACTCATTGGAAACAAGTTTAGAATAAGAGTAAATGACTAATACTAGAGGCTAAAGCGTGCTTCGCCGCACCGTATTTCACTCTTGGGATTACCCATTTTTTCTAGCAAGTTATTGCAGTCGATTTGTTTCATACTGGGTTTATCTACGTTATGTTGTGGTGATATTGTTTCATTCATATATCGTGTTGGATTGTTGCTGAAGACGATTTTTTGTTGTGAGAGGAGAGTGGAGTTGTTCGGTGCGTGGTTGTGTTGGCTTGCACGTTTTCGCGATAGTGTCAGCTTATGTTGGTTGTGTGAACTCCTTGGAAGCTCCTATTCCACGCTGAAAGGATGAGATTATTAGTATAACTCACATGGTCCGGCCCATTAAACCCTCGTTTGCTTGTCTAAGTTATTGCACATCTAAGTGACTCAATCAAGCAGAAAAACAAAAAACAAATACTTACTCAAATTATAGATGTGCAATACTTATGGCGCATCTACATGTGCGATAGCAAAAAACTTGTTTATACAAAAGGCCTTGAATTCTAGGTTTGCCTCGGGCTCCCCAAAAACTCAGGACAGGCCATGGCAGGAAGGGCCCAATGAGCGCATTGATTGTGCCATCCTTCGCGACTATGTCTCCGCGGGCGAACCCTATATGACACTCATGAGAGTCAAACTTCTGCGGCTTTGCTGAAGGAAGGGAGCTGCGGCACGAGACGGGTCGGCCCACGTCGAGCTTTAAACCAGTGTCATGCAAACCGGTTTTGGGAATCTTCTAGAAACATCCATAAGCAGGACTTTTCCAGATTTTTTTTCTTTCGCTAGTTTTTCGAATTTTCTTTTTTTTCTTTTTTCTGTTTTTATTCCTTTCTTGCCTTTTCTGTTTCCTTTTTTTATATTACCCCTTTTAATTTTTACTTTTATCCTTTGTTTTTGAAAAAGTTTGAAGTGCCAAAATATATTCATGATTTCAGAAAAGATGGTGGTTTTTAAATTTTGTTCACAATTTGAAATTTATTCAGCATATATCACAAAAATATTCAATGTGTATTCAAATATTGTTTAGCGTATATCAGAAAAATGTTCATTGTGTAGTTAAAAATTGTTCAACATATATTATAACAATAATCAATGTTTATTTAAAATCTGTTCATCATATAGTACAAAAATATCTTTGGTGTTTATTTCAAAAATTGTTCAGCGTATATTACAAAATATTCAATGTATATTTATAAAAATCAAGCATATATCACAAAAATGTTCAGTGTTTATTTTAAAATTGTTCAGTATATATTAATAAAATGTTCTATATATATATATATATATATATATTCAAAATCATCTTTTTGAAATCTCGAAACTTCTGTTAATCTCTTCAATAATGTTTCACGTTTAAAAATTTTGTTTGACTTTATTAATTTTCTCAAAACTTTTGAAAAATATTTTCCTGCTTTCATAAAGTGTTTGCGTTTGTCAATTTTTCTTTTCAGAATTTTCTAGCTTTTGTTCTCGATTTTATTATTTTTTTGGAAAAAATCAAAATATGTTCATTACTTTGCGTACGATCTGTAGAACTTTTCAGTTAAATTGGTTAGGTTCTTGATGTCATGAGTTCAAGCTCTCGCGCGCAGATCTTTTTGGGGCTTTTTTATGCGCTCGCGTTCTTAACCAGCAAATGGGCCGGCTCATCTGCATCTACCTTGAGCAAAAGCTCGACCATTTGCGACAAATAGGAGTTCTCGGCTTGGTGTGCCCCTTGAATACCTCGAGCGGCACGGCCCCCGTGAGGTCTATCCACGCCAGCGCGAGGAACATCATTGCCTTTCTCCCGCCAGAGCGTCTCGCTCAGTGGGCTAAGGGGCTAGCTGTTTGGTTGGTGCCCATTCCAGCCCTACCAAAACGAGGGCTTGCCAAAAATTTACAGCAGGAATTTGCCGCCGGAGTTTCACCCGCATGCCATCACAGAATCACATGGGGCAATGGCGAATCTACAAAAAAAATGGAGGGGGGCAGGGCTCCCTGTGGGTTGCGCAAATGTGTTGGGCTGGGCCAGCAAGTTGTTGGGCCGGCCCTTGAGACTAGTAGTAAAAATACTTTTTACAGCACTGGATGGGGGGCTCTAGCATGTTAAAGCCCTCCTAGTAGATTGGCCCCTGACATGGGGTGATCAAATAATTGGCAGTGATCCCAAAAGCTGCTCGTGATCCAAAGGCACGCCAGCCTAGTGGTCAACGACCAATATTTTGGAAGGGTGGCTCTGGGCTGCCAACCAAACAGCCTCAGCGTCAGCGTCAGCGTCAGCGTCACCGCCAGTCCTGCCTACTTCACCCGCCTCGTCACCGCCATCTCCTTTGCCATTCCCACACCCACTTTTATTCGCCGCCTCGCCATGAAGAGATTTCATGGCG